CCCTTCTGCATGGTAGAGTGGTATAGACACTTTTCACAGGAACTGTGTGAAGAGTTGACTTTGGTGCTACTTGACTTCTACAACGGATTATAAACCTCAGCAGATGTCAATATTCCATAAATGTTCTGGTCAGTAATTTCATGTCTTCATCTATGATATCTGATAAACTGACATTTTACTAGACCTCTGTTGCATTTGATTGGACGAAAACCGTGCAAGTTTAGGTATTGTCTTGTTCATGTAGCCTTTCTGTAAATTGACCGTCTTATTGAAGCATCTCCTCATCAATTCAAGAGTATGTCTAACAATGGTAGATGATTATTATTCTTCCTTTCATAAGTCAGGTTGATATGAATTTGTACGATGTTAAATCGCTTTTTAGTAGACAAATCATATTCTACTGCCTTTCACAAATCACTTTAATGTCATCAATATATCTCTTGTAAAGAGAAACTTTAGCAATGAGATCACCAGTCAGATTTTTGATGTATGACGATTAAATATCAGCTTGTAGTGATCCTAAGAGACTAACCATATCTACGACATCAACTTGTCGAAAGCGGCCACCTGCAAATGTGAAGTAGACTTTGTCGGTACACAGCAATACTAGTTCCCTTATCTTTCTTAATTTTAATCCCATGCTTATTTTATTTGTTGTATTAATCCTCACATTCTTCGATTTAATGTATATTAACTTAACAAGTAAATTTATGGGGATCAGATTGGTTGAAATGTATATTGCTCAAGTACACCCCACACTGTGTTCAGACAAACATCGTTTTCTAATAACCCTGTAGTAATTTATATAAAACTGAAGAATAGGTAGATAGATATGAAAATTAAACCAGTAGATACTAGAAATTAAGAAAGATGAAAACAAAAAGGAAGAATCGAAGTTTACCAAGGTAGGGGTATTTAAAGAATAAATTGTTTCTATACACGTGTTATGATCCTGGTAGACTGGATCATACAACAAACTGTAGGGAGGGAGAAAAGCGGCGTACTCTGGATGGACCGATGAAAAGACCACACAAGAAGATTTGCATTTCGACAACGATGATGATTTATGTCTAATGTCTTGTTGCACAAACTCGAAGATCTACAGGCAGAAACTAACAAGTTGACAGAAGAGGCGAGGCGAGGCAGCGAAGACGAGGCTCCATTCAGGTGAGCGTAGAGAAGACAGAGGTGACAGATGAAGATACCCAACCAACAACAGCATCAACAACAAGCACCAGTCACCATCAATGAGAGAAACTTAAAGGAAGTAGTCTCTTTCACCTACCTACCTATCCAGGCAGCATCGTTTCAACTACAGGCAGCAGCAGTGATGGCACAGACGAGGATGTCAAAACCAGTCAGGATCGAAAAAACAAGATAGGTCTCCTTGCATTAATGTGAAATAATGAGTGTGAAGATCTACTTCACTCAGCATAAAGCGTGAACAACATCCGGACTTTCAACACCAAGTCAGTCAAGTCAGTGCTGCCATATGATGGTTTAGAAACCTGGAGCATCACATAAAGCACTTCCAACGAACAACAGACATTCATCAACAGCTGCCTACACTCACTACACACTGAAAATCAGATGGCCAGGAAGAATAAAAAACAACCAACCAAGAACCCGTCACCCAACAAATTTGCAGAAGAAAGGGGAGATGTATTGGATTGGGCATACACTGAGAAGACCATTTGGGGACATCACGCGACAGATCACGCCCTGGAGTGGGACCCAGCTGAGAAACGACGAGTTGGACATCCGAGGCGAGAGTGACATACAGGAGATCATGTGAGAAAGAAATGAAAGCTTGTGGGCAGTCGCGGTGCCAGGTCCAAAAAACTGCAGAGAACGGAGTGGAATGAAGACGTCCTACTGAAGCCCTATGTTTCATTAGGAACCCAAGTGGAAAAAATAATGACTGGTAGTGTTACCTCACAGTCTAAGAGTGACATGGACCTAAAGCGTAAACTAATCATCTCTAAACACCAATTAGAACGTTAACTATCACCACCACAACAATACCACTGACGCGCCAAGAGAGGACAGACCCTTAACAGACAGGTTTTTACTCTGGAACCCTGGCTGGTAAAGAAACAACTTACCGACAACCTATTGCCCAACAACTATGCGGTTGAAGAAAATGGAGATGGATTGGACATAGACTGAGAAGACGGTTTGGGAACATTACGCTTCAGATCAAACCAGGCAGTCGACTGGAACCTAGATGGGAAACGGCAAGTTGTGTGTCCGAGTCCAGGGTGACGTAGAGGAGATGGTGTTAGGAAGGAATGAAAGCTTGTGGGCAGTTGTTCAGCCAGGTTGGGAAGAACACAGAGAAGAGAGTGAAATAAAGATGTGCTGGGGAAGCCCTATGTTCCACTAGGAACCCAAGGGACAAATAATAATAATAATAATACTGAAAACAAGTAATAGCTCCTTCAGAAAAGTTGGAGCAATATATGGAATGGGAGGTTTCTAGAGGATATGTAGTCACAGAGAATGTTAATAGTCTCTGTAAAAGGGACACAAACGAAAAAAATTCACATCGAACTGGTACATAGTTTTGTTTCTGATATTAATGTTACTATGACAGTCAACAAGCTGGAAAGTATCTTTCCATGAAAACTTACAGAATTAGTTTCGAACTTGATTTACCATCCCCATCAATCATTTCACCAGTCAATGTGTGTGGGAGAACGACAATATAGACAATATAGGACGTAAAAGATTATAAGTTTTACAAATCTTAGATATTATTACATTAAAATTTGTCCCTTGGGTTCCTAGTCGAACATAGGGATTCAGTGGCCCGTCACCATCTCATTCTCTTCCCTGCACTCGTTTCAACCTGGCTCCACCGCTACCCACAAGCTCTCATTTCTTTCTCACATGATCTCCTCCATGTCACACTAACCTCCAACACCAAACTCGTCTTTTCCCATCTGGGTTCCACTCGAGTGCCTGACCTGGAGTGTGATGTCCCTGAATGGTCTTCTCAGTGTATGCCCAATCCATCTCCATTTTCTCCCTCTGCATACTTGTTGAGTGATAAGTTCTTGGTTGGTTCGTCGCCAGGCCAGAGTACCTTGTTGCTTATTCTTACTATTCTGGTCATCGCAGTTTCAGTAACGAGCCAGCGTAGATGGCAGTTGTTGATGAATGTCTGCAGTTTATTGGAAATGCCTTTCGTAAAGCGCCAAGTCTCTGAGCCATACAGAAGCACAGACCTGACTGACTTGGTGTTGAAAATGCGGATGTTGTTCACGCTTTATGCTGAGTGAAGTAGATCTCCACACTGGTTTCAGTTAATGAACGTCTGCTTGCTGTGTTTCCTATCCTGGATTTGACTTCCTCATCTGCGCCGCCACCGCCTGTAGTTGAAACGATGCAGCCTGGGCAGGTAGGTAGGCGAAAAAGACTACTTCCTTTAAGTTTCTCCTGTTGATGGTGAATGGTGCTTGTTGCTGTTGGTAGTGGCGTTTGTTGGGTACCTTCATCTGTCACCTCTGTCTTTTGTACATTCATGTGAAAGGAGTCTCGTCTTCGCTGCCTGGCCTCTTCTGTCAACTTGTTAGTTTTTGCCTGTAGATCCCCAAGTTTGTGCGACATTAGACAGAAATCATCAGCGAAATCAAAATCTTCTTGTGGAGACCCTCATCGGTCCAGTCAGAGTATCCCCCTCTTCTCGCTCCTCATAGTTGTCTACTGCATGATACAGTCGACCACAATCAGGTACCACTGAGCAACTTTCCATTGTGAATTACTTAGCATGTGGCGTCTTCATACAGCTGTTGAATGAGATTGATAAGTGTTTGTGTCACTAAAACTGTAGTGTTGAAGCAACTGCCTGTCAAATTACTTCTCGGTCAACGCCATCAAACACCGGCTTTTTCAAAGTCGATGAAGTTGAGGAAGGGTTGAGTCGACTACCATTCTATACTCTGTTCTATGATGATGCGAGGTGTAGCATTGAAAAATTGATCCACACATGATTTGTACTTCTTGAATCCAGCCAGCCTGTTTCGTGGTAGTTTTGAATGCAGTGCATGCTTTAGTCTCTCCAGTATGATGTGGTTTAATATTTTGTGTGGGGTGGAGAGGAGTGGAGCATGATTGTTGATGAGTTCTTGCAAAGACTTAGGTCACCCTTATTCGGGAGTTTGACAAGGTAGCGCTTCTTCCAATCAACCCCTAGATAACTTTTCTTCCAAGCCTTCTTCAGTAATGATGTGAGTATGTCCGTTGTTGTCCCTGCGTCTACTCTTAGTGCTTCTGGATGGATTATCCGTGTTTCTGCTGCTTTCCCGCATTTCAGCAACTTTATGGCGTTCAGGACTACGAATTTCGTCGGGGGGCTTGTATTCACTTGTAGTTCTGTGGCTGCGGGTGGTATTTCTGGACAACTCGCAGGTAGTGGTTGATTCAAGAGTTTTTTGAACTGGTCGGCCCATCGTTTCCTTTGTTTCTCTTCTTTGGTAATTATATTTTCGTCATCGTCTTTTATTGGTTTCATCTGCGTTGATCTTTTCCCTTCCAGATAGTAACCTATTTATTTGAAACATAAGGAAAGTTATTCAACAACTTCGTTAGATGAAACCTACGTTGTATCATCAATTGACAGAAGGTAGGTAATATGGACCATAAGATTTCAACCCAATGGCTCGATGATAACTTGCTTGCTATGGTACCTGATAGTTGTGTATTCGACCTTTTGATATCCATTCAATGATCCCGGTTATAAGGAATTACTCACGAAAGTATATAACCCCTAAATATAGTCATGATCAGCTGATTTAGTGTATATTGTACTTTACTAATGAATAAACCAATAAAATTAATCTAGTGAAGGTTATTTATCAATTACATAATTAGTGAAATCAGCTGATATCTACAGTGCAAAGAATATATACGTATATATATATATATATATATATATATATATATATATATATATATATATATATATATATATACATATATATACAACAAAGTAATGAGCGATACATTCTGGAGGAGGGATTGTATGCAATTTTTACAATCATTGACTTGTCAATTATGGATTTTTTATTGAATTTGGTAAGTGATAATGAATTAATTTCAGATAAATTTGATGATTTTCATTGTGGTGTGTTTACTGAGCCCGATAGAATGTTGAATTGTCTTTCAGAGGTCTGTATAAAAAATGGCGTAATAATCAGTTTAGCATGATGATTACAAATTTGACTATTTATAATGGAAAAAAATTGGAGTTACAAATAACTGGAACCAATTACAGGCTTAATCAATAATTACAGTCATTCACCACTCTCAACATATGGTTCCCATAACGACTATTTTGATATATCATCACCATATCCATGACGTAATCAACTGGTATTCAATTCACTTCGACTAGGCTAGACAATAAGAGTGACTGATTACATTTAGTGCTGATATACTAACCATGTAACTCAGTAGTACGTGCCATACAATTGTTCCATTACCTTAGTCCATTTCCCTTTCATTACATAACAAGTGAAGTTCCCTTGTCTAAATGAATACAAATGATACACCAGTGACATCGGACGAGTAAGTGAGTCGTAAAGTAAGTAAGTAAGTAAGTAAGTAAGTAAGTAAGTAAGTAAGTAAGTAAGTAAGTAAGTAAGTAAGTAAGTAAGTAAGTAAGTAAGTAAGTAAGTAAGTAAGTAAGTAAGTAAGTAAGTAAGTAAGTAAGTAAGTAAGTAAGTAAGTAAGTAAGTAAGTAAGTAAGTAAGTAAGTAAGTAAGTAAGTAAGTAAGTAAGTAAGTAAGTAAGTAAGTAAGTAAGTAAGTAAGTAAGTAAGTAAGTAAGTAAGTAAGTAAGTAAGTAAGTAAGTAAGTAAGTAAGTAAGTAAGTAAGTAAGTAAGTAAGTAAGTAAGTAAGTAAGTAAGTAAGTAAGTAAGTAAGTAAGTAAGTAAGTAAGTAAGTAAGTAAGTAAGTAAGTAAGTAAGTAAGTAAGTAAGTAAGTAAGTAAGTAAGTAAGTAAGTAAGTAAGTAAGTAAGTAAGTAAGTAAGTAAGTAAGTAAGTAAGTAAGTAAGTAAGTAAGTAAGTAAGTAAGTAAGTAAGTAAGTAAGTGAGTAAGTAAAAGAGTGAGTGAGTACTGCAAAGGTTTAAGATTTCTAGGGGTGCGTCTCCTGCCAGCCAAATGCAAACTGTTGCTCGAGGACTGGTCTTCAGTGGTGTCTTGTTTGATAGCAAAAAGTCAAGTGATTGAATGTACTGATGATTTCACTTAGCTGCGAAGTCGGATCAACTATGGTGGGTCAGTGACCAACGAAATGTCTGCACAGATGCAAAAGTCTCGATTGGCTGTCGTCAGCTCACTCCATTTATGACACCGGAATGATATCCAGTTGCCTACTAAAGGTCTGGTGTACTGCATTGCAGTATGGTTATGAAACAAGACTATTACAGGTTGAGTATATGAGAAGGCTTCAGGTGTTTGACCACCATTGACTTCGTAGCATAGGTCATGCATCGTGACGTCATCAAGTCAGTTACGCAGACCTTAGATGTAGAATTCTAGGAAGGAAAGAAATGTCAGTTGATAAGTTTGAGAACCTTCATCGACTAAAGTGTCATTACACAGTCTAGTCACCGTCAGCTTCGTTGCAGGATGTTGTCTGAATTAGGTTCAGACTGGAGCAAGGTCAGATATGGTCAGACTAAACTATGCCGTAAGTCTATGAAGTCACAGACTATTAGTCTGAGCTGTGTAAGAAAACATAGACTTCCCGGTTATGGGTTACAACACAGACCATTTTTTGGGGGCTCTAAGCTAAATGATTTGATACGTTGATGCACTGTATCTCCCCGGCTAGAATTATTCTGTCTGATGACATGCATCCTCTACATCCGCAACTCTCTCCATCTCTATCCTCAGTGAAGACAACAAGCGAGTATAAATAATTTCCGGTTGAAAATTTATCACTGACTAACATCTGTTGGAGAAATATTGAAAACCTGTGAACACTGAACAGCTATTTCTTCCTGGCATGGAACTCCTCAACCGTGTACACTCATGACGCTGCATCCCAGTGATCAAACCAGGACATTTAGGTTCCATAGTCAACACGTTACCACTGAACCACTAATTTGGAATCCAATGATCCATACTTCCAAATTCTGTCAGTTCATGACAGCGCGACCACCACCCCCACCAACCTGAAATCAATAAATCCCCACAAACCTCCCAAACTGAATTATTCTAATGCTCATTCGTGACTAGCTTCAAGAGGAGATTTCAACTCAGTGGCCCAGTGGTAACATGCTGACCATGGAAGTTGAAGGTTCAGGGTGCAATCCCTGGCAGGATATGGTCATGTGTGCGCGTTGCTGAGGAGTCCTATACTAGGACGAAACAGCCGTCCAATGCTCCCAAGTTTCCAGTTTTCCTCCAGTTGGGAATAAAGTGATATATTACTACTATTATTATTATTATTAGCTTGAAACAGTCTTAAATGAACTTATACGGCGGAATAGTCTCTTAGATATGCACTGATGAAGAATGACTGAGAAGGACGAACCATTTTGTAATGTACTCTCAAGCTTCAATGATTCTTTGGCTAAAAACTAGTTCATGATGAATCTTATGCATATTCTTTATTCTTATCTTATTACAGTCAGATAGTGGTTGTCTCTTCAACCAATTCTCTACAGTACACACACATCCCACTGCTACATTCGATCTTGTAGCTATCACTATTGATATTCTTCTCTAAAGTAAATCGATAAATTGACTTCACACTGATTTTTCATTGAAATTGATGACTGAAAGTTACTCAAGGCTAGACTGAATACTTACATACTACTCATGTTGGTAACCAGTAGTATTTGTGTTGTTGCTTGTATTATTCTATCGTTAACTGGATTGAACTGAACAGTCTCTAATGGAGTATGGATTGTTGTACGAATGCTCCAATATTGCTCATTTGAATTTTTATAAGAATGATGGATAGTGGTTAGCAATGGAATTCATCTTGACACGGGTTTCGTCCTATTTAGGACTCTTCAGCTGAATATATCTACCTCCCAATAAGCAATATTGTTCCCACTAGAAGTCGAACCCGAGAGCAATCGCTTTAAATATCAGTGTTATCCACTAGGTCAGTAGTCAAATTCTTGTACTCTACACGTTTAGTTTTTATGTTGTTACTTTACTCAGTGACCTAATGGAATCAATCAGTCCTCAGCTTTGAAGGTGAATCCTAAATAGGCTGAAATATACGTCTTCAATTCTACTATTATTATTATTATTATTATTATTATTAGTTCCTTGGGTTCCTAGTGGAACATAGGGCTTCACTAGCACGTCTCCAGTGACCTCTGTTCTCTGAGATCTTTTCAACCTGGTCCCACGACAGCCCACAACCTCTCATTTCCTCCTCGCACGACCTCCTCCATGTCACCCTCGACACCGACGCCCAACTCGTCGCTTCCCATCGGGATTCCACTCGAGGGCCTGACACGTGATGTCACCAGTCGGCCTTCTTAGTGCATGGCCAATCCATCTCCACTTCCTCCTGCATATTTGTTGGGTGATAGGTTCTTGGTTGGTTCGTTCCCACAGCTCCTTCTTGCTTATTCTTTCTGGCAATCCATTTCATCTTCAGTAGAGAGCGTAAGTAGTTATTGATGAATGTCTGTAGTTTATTGGAAATCCCTTTCGTAACGCGCCAAGTCTCTGAACCATCACGTGGAAGCACTGACTTGACGTTGGTGTTGAAAATCTGCATCTTGTTCCGCATGCTGAGTGCAGTGCAGAAGATCTCCACACTGGTTTCAGGCTAATGAACGCTGGCCTGTCTTGCTTTTCCGATTCTGACTTTGACATCCTCGTCTGTCCCGCCTGTAGTTGAAACAGTGCTTCCTAGATAGGTGAAGGAGGTTACTTCCTTTAAGTTTCTCCCGTTGACGGTGACTGGAGTTTGTTGTTGTTGTTGATGGTGGTGGTGCGGTATCTTCATCACCTCTGTCTTCTCTATATTCACCTGAAGTCCTGTCTTCGCTGCCTCTTCTATCAACTTGTTAGTTTTTGCCTGTAGATCTTCAAGTTTATATGACATCAGGCACAAGTCATCGTTGGCGAAATCCAAGTCTTCTAGGTTCTTTTCCACAGTCCAGCCAGTGTGTCCTCCTCTTCTCGCTCCCCACTGTTTGCTGCTGTTTCCTACTGCTTATCATTCATCATCATTACTATAAAAATCAATAGTGTTATTATAACTTACCTGCTATTCATTCAATTCTCCGTAGAAGAATAGCGTGATAATGATAATGATGTTCATAGTAATTTTAATTGTGTAATTTTCCTAGTTTTTCTCTTCCTGTCTTCTCATAAGAGATAATCAGTTATTATAGATAGGAGAAAAATGCAGATTTCCATTTATCCGTCCATTTATCTGTCTATCTCTTAGCTTCCATTTTGTAATTTCAGTCATTAGGAGGGTCTAAATTGTCTAATTAGATTAGATATAATTAGAACTATTAATGCATTATTAGTAATAATAATAATAATAATAATAATAATAATAATGATTGACCAGACAGTGGGGATGGTTGTGCGCATACGTGTGTGCGTATGCGCGTGTGTGTGTGTGTTAAAGTGTGATAAATGGGATGATTTATCCTACTTCAAAATTTTAATTTCTTATGAATATTATATAGATGGATATCTTTCAGTCTTTCTATAAGCTAATTAACTCTCTCTCTCTCTCTCTCTCTCTCTCTCTCTCTCTATATATATATATATATATATATATATATATATATATATATATATGTAGTTGTTTCAGACAGCAATTTTCCCTTCTTTGCGTATATGTATATGAGCAAAGAAGCACAGACGCACACAGACATAAGAGTAGACTAATAGATTGATGCACAAACAAGGCAATTAAAAGCATATTTAGTGATAATGAGCATAATAGATATACAGGCATACCTACGTGGTTTATATTATTATTATTTATTTTCCCTTGGGTTCCTAATGGAACATACGGCTTCACTAGAACGACTCCATTCCACTCCGATCTCTGCAGTCTTTTGGACCTGACACCAC